TAGTGTTCTTGGGCATATATCGCGCACGGCCCAGGGCAGTCATTAACCATCCTTGGCTTCGATGCGCTGCGGTGAGAAAAAGAAGAACAACTGTCCTGCCCTCCTCAATATTCCTTCGCCCTCCTCCGCGCTCCTCCGCACTCTTCCCCATACGTTCCCGCTCCTGTCCATCCTGTGCACTCCTCTGAACTCCTCCTCTGACCACTACGCACTCCTCCGCCCTCCTCAGCGTTCGTCCGCCCTCCTCGACACTCCTCCCAGTCCTCCCCAGTCCTCGAAACTCCGTTCCACTCCTAACCACTCCTCAGGTCTACTCCTCACGATTCCCCATACATTCCGTCTCCTCCCCACTCCTTCGCCCTCCTCCGCAGTCTCGCCAGCCCTTCATTTTCCGTTTTACTCATAATCATTATTTTGGCCTCTTCCGTACGTCGCTCTCCACCATCCATTCCACTCCTCTGCACTCCGCACTTCCCCGCACGCCTCCCCATACATTCCCGCTCCTTCCCAGATCAATCCACTTCTCCGTTGTCATCTGCACTCCTCCGCACGTATCGCTCCTTCCTTGACACTTTCACTCGTCTGCTCATGTGTCTATGTTTCGCACTGCAGGCGAGTTCACTAGAGCGACGTGCCAGGTGACATACCCACAGACCCCGGAATAAACGGTTGAACAAACGAGCGAGCGCACATGCCACGTTCGTCTGTCAATGTCCCCCTCCCCAATGATCAAAGTTGGCCGTGGGTTGAAAACGTTGCACTTCAACCGCAGTCTTCCCCGCACGTGCCAACTTTGAATCTTGGGGAGAGGCGGAGTGCCCGCTAATTGTTTCCCTCTGCCGAAGCACATGTTTTTCGATCAGTTGCCACTTTCGAATTTACTTTCTGCGGACATTAAATGCTGCGGCTATATTTTCCCCATTGGGGAGTTCTGCCTGTAAAAAAAACTTCGTTCTGACAATTTTTCAAAGAGCATTCGCCGTCGCACCGTCGACTTTGCTTGGCGGTTGTGCTCTGTTCGTCTATCTACATGTATCGCCCGTCGCCGTCGCATCTTGTGCAAATGTTTTGCTCGTCTATCTGCCCAGCCCCGGGCGCTGCCGCACCTTCGGCTTGGCTTGACTGGTAACGTTTATGTGTTTATCTATCTGTCTGTATGTCTGTGCCACCCCAGTTGCGGGCCTCGCTGGTCGCTGTCGCACCGTTGGCCACCTTGCGTGGACATGAGCTGTCCATCTGTCTGACCACCCATTGTCGCCCTCGCACCAAACAATTGCGCGCGACACATGCTTGAATTCAACTGTCCACAGCGCGCCCACCGCACATCGCACCACTCATTTCATTGATTTCTTAAAGGATCCGTGCGGCGACAGATCGGTTGGGCCACGCTGGGCTGTGCCTGGGGTGTGGTTGTGTGGTCAAGGTATTTGCCGTGCCGTGCCATCCCCGCGTGCCGTGACATGCCGTGCTTAAGTTCCGGAATGGGAAACATGTGCCGTGCCGTGCGCGCGTGCAGTGCCGTGTGCCGTGGTTGGCTTCGCGACTGCAGAAAGTTTTCCGTGCTGTGCCGTGTCCGCGAGGCATGCCGTGCTGTGCGGTGCCGTGCCGCGCCATGCTCATTGTGAACGCCTTGCGGCCAGTGCCGCCGACCCTAAGGGGGGAGCCCGAGGCGTGTAGGAGGCAATGAATCGAAAGGGACAGCTTCTCCCAGGGAAGGATGCTCACCCACAGGGGCGGGGGGGGCGGGCACAATCCCCAGGACTCGCCCCCTACCCCCCCAGGCCCCCCCCTCCCCCAGGGCCCCCCCCAAAACTGCCCTTCGGCGGGGAAGGGATCAAAGGCAGGGGTATGTATTTCCTTTTTCGGCTGGGACACTTGACGAGGAGGGCCCACGGACAGGGACAGGGGGGAGAGGTGACGGCGACAACGACGCGGTGTTCCGTGCTTTGCCGTGCCGCGCCATGCTTAGTTGTTTTTGACGGCACTGACCACCCACCTCAAGCATGCCACATTTGATGCTGACTCACCGTGTGTGTGTGTGTGTGTGTGTGTGTGTGTCTGTGTGTGTCTGTGTGTGTCTGTGTGTGTCTGTGTGTGTGTTTGTGTTCTCGCGCAGCGTTGTTGTTTACGCTTTCTTTGTAGTGTACTGACGTGTCGTGTGGTCATAGCATTGTGCGCTTGCCAGCTTCTTAGTCTGCAGTTGTCGGTGCGAGACAAGGAGGTCACGGGTGGTGCCACGTTACCTCAGCGATTCACCATTTGAAAGCAAACTGAATGGCATCAGCCTGCAGGCGATTGTCATGCAGGTACTTTGAAATCATGTCGCTGGTGCTGCTACACATTCCCTAAGCAGCGAGTGCTGTACGGGTCTGAACTGTTTTCGGAGAGCCCGCTTCTAGGAGACATTATGTGAAGCATGTGCCGCTGGCGGTGCTATGCCGTGTCGTGCCGTGCCCGCATGCTGCGCCGTGCTGTTTGGGTTTGAGAGTTCAGAATTTATGCCGTTCTGTGCCCGCCTGCCGCGACGTGCCGTGCTTCTGCTTTAGAGTGCGAAAGAGGTGTTGTGCCGTGCCCGTGCTTAGGTTTTAGGCTTCGCCGTGCCGTTCTGAAGTTCTAGAGCGCGAGCCATGCGTCGTGCCCGCGTGCCGCGTGCCGTGTGCCGCGTGCCGTGCCTCGCCTAGGTTGCAGAGTGGAGAAGAGGAGCTTGTCGTGCAGCGCCGTGCTCGCGCGCCGTGCCCTGCGGCGTCCAGGCTCGTGGATCCGAGGCAAGTTCCGTGCCGTGCCCCCCTGGCAGCGACGTGCCGCGCGGAAGTTCCAGGATACGAAACATGTGCCGTGCCGCGCGTGGGTTGTAAGATGCGACAGCTGCGGCGTGCCGAGCCCGCGTGCCGTGACGTGGCGCGCCGTGCTCGGTTTCTCGCGGCAGTGGCCACCCGTGCCAAACCCGTTTTTCTGACGCTGGCTCACCGTGATCGTTTTCATGCCATGCTGTGCTTAGGGTTTCGCTGCACGGCGTGACTGCGTTGTGCAAGTGCACGGTCCTCTATTCGCGAAATTCGACGAGAGAGCGATCGTTGACAGGACATATGCGCATATTTTTTGTTTGTTGTTTTTGAGAAGTGTGCGGACGATTGACAGTGCAGTCGGGGGGCTGAAGAAGAAACATTTTTCGTTCGGGAGGGGCTCCGTGCTCCTTAGCCGTTTTATTGTTTGCCTTAGGTTTACCTTCGGTGTTCGAGCGGACGTCGAAGTTAAACTTAAGGCAAAAAGGGGCCTCGCGCCTTAATTTATCGCTCCTTAGGTCAATGCCCCGACTGTAAGCTGGTCACGTGTGCGTGTGCTCCTCGACCTGCAGTGGCGGTCGTAGCGTCGTGCTGTCTGCCACCGTCCTGCGCTGACGGCGTTGCTCCGCGCACGCTGGTTTCCTCGGCCGCGGGGCTTGAGGGCCCAAGCGCTTGTTTCCCGAGAAGCTTCTTCCCCTTCCAGCATTCGGCGGCGAGCGAGGGGGGCAATGAGAAGGAGAAGGCCTTCTAAGAAGGCGGCGGGACTTCTCAGAAGCCCTCGCGCATGTCTTCTGGGGAGGCTTAGAGCACTTCTCGGAAGGCTGGGGGACTTCCGAGCCTTCTGAGAAGGCCCGCCTCTGTTCACTCTCCCCCCCCCCGCTTTTGCCGCCGAAGCACTCAGCAGGGAACGCGCCTTTTCAAGAACCCGCGCCTACCCCTTCCCGGGCCATCTTTCGCTCGAATTCTATCCCCCGGCCTCTCCTGGGGCCCCTGCTGGCCAGTATTCAGTTTTTTCGGGCTGCATCCGGCCGCGGTGTGGAGATCTCTCCACGAGGCCCAAGACAGGCAGGCAATCGCCACAGCCTGACCGTTGGAGGAGCAAACTTTGCATCAAGAGTTAGGGGACCACTTCGAGTACACCCCCCCGCACTCCCCCAGCCTTGAAATTGAACAGTTGGTCCCGGAGATGAGCGGCGGGAAAAAATCTGTACCCAAGATCTCGATCTCAACGCATTCCCATATTAAGGCCAGGGGGTGGAGGGGGAAAATTCGGTTCTTTGTCGTCGTCGGAGCGTTGTTGATGCAAAGTTTGCCAGGCGTGGTCTTACAAGGTTGGGTAACTATTCGACATTCTGGTTTGATCTGTTCCTCGTCGGCTGGGCCTTGTTGATCTGTTCCTCGTCGGCTGGGCCTCGGCGGCGGCGCGCGGCTTCGGCGCCTGGCCCGCTCGGGCCGACCCATCGGGCATACAGTGAGGGCATTGCGTAAGGAACCCTCAGACAAGGAATCTAGGGCTTAGCTGCTCTTATACGCATGTTTTAAAACGTAACACGCGCCGTGTTCAAAACGTCCGTGTTCAAAACGTCAATACGCTACGTGTTGCGTGTTGCGTATCGGGGCAGCTAAGATCCAGGGCCTGGATACCACCTTGAATTCGCCATTGGTACCACCGCCGCCCTCATCACACAAGGAACCCTCTAGGGTCTGAAGCCTCCTGGGCACATTCCTTAACCAACGCCCTCGCCGTACAGTGGAGGCCCATGCCAAGAAACACCCTGCTTGCCTCCAGGGGGCCCTGGGTTTCTTGGGTTCCGAGGGTTTTGCTGTGGAGAGCGCGGCGTTCCCACGCCAACGATCCATAGACGCCCTGGGGTCTCAGGGTTGGATTTCTTGTGGAGGGTTTCTTGTGGTCGGGCCCCTACTGTACCACTTCTGCAGCGATGCGCACGAAGCTGGGCGATGCTGATTTTGTCTCGTCGCGCGCGGCAGGGGCAATCCGCTCGCGCGGTCTAGTAGCTGGAGGGCGAATAATATTCTTTGTGCGGCAGCAAGAGCGAGAGACAGGGCAGAGGGCGGCCGCGGAGCAACGGAGAGGGTTGGAGGGCACTCACAGCGCTTGATCCAGTTGACAGGGATCCTTTATCTGTTTCGTGCTCTCGTTGTTTTGTGTGTCGGTTTGGTTCTTCTCGAGTTTCTGCTTTCCAGAGCGGGCCGAAG